CCTGTCCCTTTGGGGCCCAGTGTGTGGGGGGTGGTGCAGGGAGGGGGCCTCTCTCCCAGGAACACACGTCTCCACAGGGCAGGCCTCGGAATCCTTCCTTACTCAGACCATGGAGTGGATGAGCAGACCTGGCAGGGTAAGGACAGACAGACAGACAGACCCCAGCTGGCCTTGCCTCCCTGGCAGGGCTCGGCTCCAGGAACCGTGGCAGGCAGCAGGGTAGGGTAGGCAGCCTCTGGGGCCGGCCTCCTGCCCAGCCCCGCGTGACAGTGGGCTGAGCACCGCAGTGCTCTGTCTGAGCATCCGGGGAGGCCTGATGAGGGCCAAGGAGGAGCCGACAACCCTGAGTGCTCCCTGGGACAGAACCCTGGTCAGTCCCGACGTGAGGCCACCCCTGGTCCACCTGGGGCCACCCCTTCCTCACTGCCTCTGGCAACCTCGTGGGCCCCCGGCCTTCCAGTCCCTGAAGGAAGCCCCCTAGCTTCATACCTCCTGCACCAGCTCACAGTCCTGAGGCTCGGGGGACCTCGGCCATCAGGGCCAGGGTGGGGATCTGCCTGTTGGTCACCAGGCACCCATGAGACCCACAACCATTGTCTGGCACCTAGCAGACCTCGCAGGTGACACACATGTCCTCTGTCCTCAGCAGCCGGCCTAGGGCACTTGTGGCCAGGACGTGGTCCTCAAGGAAGTAATTCTCATACCTCACACCACCCCCGGCACTGGGCTTCCGTGACCCGAGCCTGGGGACAGCTAGCTCAGAGACCACTCACACCTCTGGACAAAAATGCATTTCCACCCGGGAAGGGCACGCTCGGAGCTGGACTGCACGCGGAGGACTGTCCCCCCAAGCACCACAGAGCGCCTCGCTCCAGCCAGTCCCCCCTCTGCGGCTCCCCCTCCCTGGACAGGTGCAGGGCTCCGGGCCACCGAGGGCAGAAGCACACGCAGCTCCACCTTGGGGAACTGAGGACGGGATGGCTGTCTGGGAAAGCTTCCCCCTTCCCGAGTCCCTGGGTCTCACCCCACCTGCAAACGCTTGAACATGTACGTGTACACACACACACACACACACACACACACACACACATGGATCCAGACATTCAACGTAGAAAAGATTTGGATGTGCTAAAAATCGCACAGAACCCGCTTACTCTCCTCACCTCAGACACCTAAGGGGTCTGTGTCAGGAGACGAGACCACTGCCCAGGAGCAGGTGGCAGGGTCCCTCGGCAGAAGGTCCCCAGGCTGGGCACAGGCACCCGGCTGCAGAGGGGCAGGAGGCGAGCATGCAGCCACCAGGCACTGGGCTCGGTGGTGGTGGTGGCATGCAAGAAGTGGACTTTCAGGAGATGGCCACGGCCCCGGATGTTCGTGGCAGCCACCCTCCCCCAGGAAAGAACCCTTTATGGCACAGAGGGGAGCCGGGGCAGCCCAGGCTGGGCAGTCACAGGAGGCGGGGCCAGGGCTGAGTGGAGCAGACAGGAGGGGCTGGGCCCCACGCCTCGGCAGAGGACCAGGGTCTCAACCGGACTCCAGAGCCTCCTTTATGAGAGCCATGCACAGCAATGCCGGGTTGGGGGACCAAAGGGGTGGGGCTGGGCCTCCTGGCACAGAGCTGGGCATCGCAGAGCCCAGTGGAAAGAGCAGAGAGGTCAGCCTTCTTCCAGGCTCCTCAAGGCCTTGGGCACTAAAGCCGAGGCTGGCCGCCCGCTGGGGCAGGGTCACCTTGACGTTCTCAGCTGGGCCCTAGGCCACGTCCAGAGCAGCCATCGACCAGCCTCCCGGGGGTGGTGGCCAGCAGGGGGCGTTCTGCCCGCCCCGCCGGGGGCTCGCCCACCCGCCTGTCAGGGCTGGCCGCGGCCCCCGACTCCTTCTTCTTTGTTCCCTTCCGCTGAAACATGTGGTGTGAACGGATCTGTCGCTCTT